CCCCAAAACCCCAAAACCCCAAAACCCCAAAACCCCAAAACCCCGTTCAATCGAAACATATTGGAAACCATATTTGTCAAGTACTCCTCTCACAATATCTTCTTCTATTCCTCATTTTTCCATATGGATAGATTTAATGTTCTTGATAAAATCTTTGCTTAAACTTAACCCTTTGATCAGATTTGTAAATCTTTCAGGATGATTTTCCCAATCAGAGAATTGTGAGTAACCTCAGCCGCCTAAATTCAAGTCTTCAATGATTGATTTGTTCAGGCAATATCCAAAGCTTGGTATTGAATCTAGTTCAAGTTTGCAATACCTAATCCAACTTTTCTTTGGTTTTTACATAAAGTTTGAAGGATATTTTTCATTTGAAAATGACTCATCTCCATCCCGTATATACAGAATTCTTTTGAGACATGAGGACCCACATATACAATGATGTCATTAACTTCTTCTCAGTCAAGGATCCCTCCATTCAAATTCATGTGAAAGTTCTGCACCGTTTGAGGGAAAGATGATCATATGAAATCTTTTGCGAGTTTTATGTTATCGGTGATTCTGCATATATTTAGCTCTTTACAATTGAAGAGAACGTTTCCATCAGAACTCTCCATAAATCATGCATCTTTTGGACAAGCTCAATCAAAACTAAGCTCTTTGGGATCTGATGGAATTAATTTCTTATTAGTGATTAGCTCATAAGCTTTCTGGAAGTTAGCTTGAGGCTCCAACCCAATAGTAGTTATTACTCGTTCTCTGAGTTTCTTTAGGTCATGTTTCAATGTTTCTGCTTCTTCTTCAACCCTCTGGAGCTTAGCTTGGATACCATCGTCATCAAATGGGGTTTTAATGAGCCTAGATACCTTTTTGTAATCAATCTTGAGATAATTTCACATGAGAGCCATATAGTTCCTCATACAGAATTGTTTGAATCAATCACTCTGGTGAAGTTCCTTCATAATACCAACAATTCCCTTCTCGATTATTTTAATATCTTGGAACAAGCTTTTGTCTTTGATAGACTCTAGCTGTGGTATAAGCTGAACGATCTTTTTCTGAATTCTTGTAGCAACGAAGCTCTGCTCTTCAAAGTCAAGAAAGTTCCCTTCAGTCTCTATCTCAACTAGCATACTTTTCATACATGCTCCGATCACTTCAAGGGCTTCTTCGCTTTCTCCAATATTTCCGAGCCGAGTTCAATTTTCTTGCTTATTTTGATGGGAATGGTCTGCACAGATTTTGATCTTGAACCCTTCATGAAAATCAGCTATTTGGCACTTAGACATCTTCTCTATGTGCTAGTGTCTAAGAGCAATGTAGAACTCTGGTCAAGGCGTTTCTAATAATTTGAATCCCCAAAATTGGTACCTTAATGGGCATAATCCTTTAAGGATTGAACAATAGCTGTAAAGAAATATTCTTGAGTTTAATTAATGGTTCCCACTTATTATGAATCTATTACCAGTTGTAACCATCTAGTTGTAAGCTGTTATACAATTTATTGGGAAGACTGAGAGGAAGCAAGCAGTTTGGGTTTATAAAATTTATAAGAATTTGCCTTAAACACACAAAACCTTTGCCCGTAATTGCTTTATTACTAGCAAAGCTATACAATTAAAAGCATGAGTCTGAGCTAAAACTATCTATCATCCACAAAAATATCAACTCCCCATTCCAGATCTAATCTAATACCCCAGAACATCCAAATCCTATTTCAATTTTGTTCAAAACTCTTCTCAACATTTCCTCCTTGCTTTGTCAAACCCTCAAATTATGACTGGAAGAACCAGCCAATCTTCTTCGGCTAAAGCTCACTGCGATATAAGTCTTCCATCTTAAAGGTCTTCGAGGGCAAAGCACATAAATAAAAAAGTGAAAATATAAAAAGATGATGAGAATAAAGGGGTTTAGAAATTAGGCTGAATGTTCTATAATTTCAACTTGTTTGAAGTCGAATTTGTCGAGTACACCTCTTACATGCTGTTTTTTCATTCCTCAGTTAAGCATTTGAATCATTTTAAAGTTCTTCTTGAAATCTTTGCTCTGACTTAGTCCTTCAATTAGATTTGAAAATCTTTCTGGGTGTTTTTGCCAATCACTGTATTTAGAACGACCATTTCCTCAGAAACTCAAGAATTCAATGATTGAGCCATCGAGACAATATTGGAAACTTGGTACTGAATCCAATTCAAATTTGCAATATCCAAACCCGAATATTTTTTGGTTTTTACATATTGATTGGAGGATATATTTCATTTGAAACTGGCTGATTCTCATGTTATAAATATAAAATTCTAGTGATATATGAGGGCTCACATAATGGATAGTCTCAATAATTTCTTGGCAATCAATTATCTCTCCATTTCAATTTAAATGGAACCATTGGACTGTTTCAGGGAAAGATGAGCATATGAAATTTTTAAATAATTTTACATCACTTGTAATGCTATCAAGTCTTAATCTAGAACAATTTGGAAGGATATTGTCTCCTATAGCTTTCATAAACTCAGTATCTTCTTCAGTATCTCAATTAAAAATAAGTACACGATCATTTTTTTGGATTAGTTCTAAATCGGTGACTATCTTATAGGATTTTAATAAACTCTCTTTGGTATCTAGCCCAATATCATTAATGATACGCTCTCAGATCTGTCTGTACTTGTCTTCCATATTCTCCAACTCTTGCTCCTTCTCTTCTAACTTCTCTTTGAAATTTCTTATCTCATCTTCTGGGCTTATGAGTTCTGAGACTTTGTTGTGATCGATCTTCAGATAGTCACACATCAAAGTCATGTAGTTCTTGACACAAAAATGTGTGAAGAATTCTCAGTGGTATAGTTCGGAAGTAATATCTTTGACTTCACTTTCAAGTCAATCATGACTTTGTAGGTCATCACTACTTTTGGCAGATTCTATTCCTTTTGATACTTGAGCCACTTTATGATTGACTTGTTCTGCAAAATGCTTTCATTTCTTGATGCTTGCTATGTTGTCTCCTAATTCTACACCAGTTCAAAAGTTGTTAATACATGTTTTAACAACTCTGAGTGCATCTTCAACTTCATTAAGTTGCCCAAGCCTCACTCACTGATTCTTCTGACTAGGTTTGAAATGCTGTTCACATATCCTAATTTCGAGTTCTTTATGAAAATATTTGGAGCTATTGGTACAAGCTTCTATTTCTCATTTAACTGCTTCCATATTGTTTAATATTTGATTTTCAACCTTAAGTACAGAAGACGGGGTTTTGGGGTTTTGGGGTTTTGGGGTTTTGGGG